CGAAGGATGGATAGTGAGGGAGCGAGCAGCGCGTCTTTAAGAAAAATGGGAGGGAGGCCCCTTGACGTGGCATGGGCCGTCTCTCTTTCCTTTTTTCGGTTCTCAAAATGGCGGACACTCTGTGTGGTTTGAGCTCTTTAGCATAGCATTTTTTTTTACACAAAGCTTTTAATAAAAATAAAAAAATATCAGTAAACGGCTTATTTTTGCAGAGAAAAACAACTTTTACATGAAGGCACAGGTTTCAACCGTGAATTTTGGAGCTTCGACAAGACCGAGTCAACTTTATTTATGAAGCACATTTAAATGTCAACAACAAACTGGTTGATCCACTATGTGAAGGTGCTATTTAAAGACCGAGTTTGTTGCAGCTCCTCAGACTGAAGAAGTCTTTTGGATAAAAGAAAAAACGTCTCAACAAAGAAGAATCCGTCCAGAGAACCCGACTCCACCTTGTTACGTCTGGAATTAGGTTTGCTTCAAACATTGTTGATTAGTTCTAGATGTACATACAATGATCACTTCATGAACGCTTCACAAAAAGCCATCCAAGACCCAATACTGCCAATAATCTGAAGTGTTATAAGAGGTTATATCAGTTCATATTAAATCATGTTAACTCTTCAGGCTCTGTATAAGCCTTTAAAGCACCCACTGATCTAGATCAGATGTGTTGGAGCAAAGAAACCTCTAAAGCATGCAGGTTAGTGGCTCTCGGGGACAAGTATTCAACTGGGTTAGAGGCCTCAGATGTGTTGCAGGTGGATCAGAGAGAGACTGTGAACACGATTTGCAGCTCAGACCTGGGGCTGTGTGTGGACTGAATCACGGTCTAGTCAACGAATGATTAAAGCAGTGCACTAATTCAGTTTCATGTAGATTGCCGTACACAAAATGAGCAGAACAAACTTGCACGTTGCTCCATTCAAAACTGTGGTTTAACCTGGCCAGCCGCAGATGCCCAACGTCCAACAATAATTTCTGAGCAACTTCTCGATTCCTGACAAGGTGTGGTAGTGAGAGTCTTCCTCGCGATCTGATTGTTGCAGTCATCTACACGACTAGAATTCAACATTTCTTGATATTTTAACAGACACCACCACTGATCACAAAACACTAAAGTCAGGGATGTGTGTGGCACAGCAGCCATACCTTAAGCAGACTTTTAGGAATCTCAGGATGGTTTTAGACTCCGACTTTAAGTTCAATAAACACATCAACTCTGTTCGGCAGAAAAGCTTCTTCCAGTTAAAGCAGAGAGTTAAGCTTGAACCAGTGTTGTCCCAATCTGACCTTGAAAAACTAGTCCATGCCTCCATGTGTCGCATCTATGTTGGGGTCAGTCAGGTGTCCCTTTCACGTCTCCAGCTCGTCCAAAACGCTGCAGCTCGGCTCTTAACAGGAACTCATAGGGTTGACGAATTACACCCATTTTGCCCTCCCTGCGCTGGCTCCATGTACGTACCAGAATTGTTTTTAAAATTCTCCTGTTGACCTTCAAGTGCATAAATGGCCTCACACTCTCGTACCTCTCTGAGCTACTGAACCAACTCTCAGGCCCTGAGATCAGCTGACCAGCTGCTTATGGCTGTTCCAAAAACAAGATTGAAGCTCAGAGGAGATCGGGCTGTTTCAGTCGTGGGCCCCAAACTTTGGAACCACCCCCCACTTCACTTCCTGTTTTTAAATCTTTACAGTGCGACTCGATTTAGTATTTAATTGCTCTGCGTTTCTGTAGTTTCCTTTTGATGCTTGCAATTAATTTTCAGTACTATAATTATTTTTATTGTTACTTTTTCCCCCCCATGAAATTACTCCCATGATTTTACTGTTAAGCACTTTGGGTAACAGCTGCTGTTTTGACTTTGGACCACACCCTCCCAGCATGGACTCTGGCATCTACTGCCCTCAGGCAGACGATACAGGAGTCTGCCATCGTGCACAAAAAGACAGCCATTATCCACAAGCTGTAAAATTACTGAACTCTTGATAAATAACACTGAACAACTGGAAATAACTTTGCACCAAGCAACATCTGTGACAGCTAAATTAGATTGTGACACCCAATATGTTTATTATTTATTGCTGCTGCACTACGTGGCTGTATCATGTATGATACAGTATCTATGAATCTACCTCACCATTATAATACATCTCAGTGTGCAATAACCTGTCACACAGTCTGTGTAGTAAATGTTAGTTATGTGCAATACTGGTATATATCATGTACATTTAAATGGTAAATGGACTGTACTTGTATAGCGCCTTTCTATCTTATTTCAAGATACTCAAAGCACTTTACATTACAATCTGTGCCTCATTTACTCATTCATACAGCACTCTACTAGATCTCTACAAAGCTAATTGAACAAATCAATCTAAAGAGACTAATCAGTGCTTTTTTATGATCACATTCATACACTGATGTGACACGCATCAGAGGCAATGAGGGGTTCAGTGTCTTGCCCAGGGACACTTCGGCATGTGACTGCTGGTGGATTTGAACTCCCAACTCTTGCATTGGAGGACGACTGCTCTAACCACTCAGCCACAGATGCCCATTTAACCTTATATTACTACCTGTGAAATACTTATTTATTCAAATTCATCCTGCTTGCACCGTTATATTCTACCATCTTGTTGTGGACTATTTTCTCTTTAGGACCTTGTAAATATTGTATTTACTTTTTCACTTTTTGGTACTTAATTTTGAACCCTTACCGTATCCTTTAGTACACTGCCTGGCCAAAAAAAAAATTTTTGCCACCAAAAAAAAAAGAAAAAAAAAAAAAGGTCTCACACTAATATTTCGTTAGACCGCGTTTAGTTTTGATTACAGCAGCATTCACTGTGTCAGTGTTTCGATAAGCTTCTACAATGTCACAAGATCTATTTCCATCCAGTGTTGCATTAATTTTTCACCAATATCTTGCATTGATGACTAGGCACTAGGCATGATGGGTGCATCACTTCACCTGCCTCTCTTCTTACCCTGATGCACCCATCACTCTGGAACAGGGTAAATCTGGACTCATCAGACCACATGACCTTCTTCCATTGCTCCAGAGTCCAATCTTTATGCTCCCTAGCAAACTGAAACCTTTTTTCCCAGTTAGCGTCACTGATTAGAGGTTTTCTTAAGGCTACACAGCTGTTCAGTCCCAATCCCTTGAGTTCCCTTCACATTGTGCGTGTGGAAATGTTCTTACTTTCACTATTAAACATAGCCCTGAGTGCTGCTGTTGTTCTTCTTTGATTTGATTTCTAACATTTAAGTGATCGCTGATCATGATCATTCAGGATTTTTTTCCGGACATATTTCTTTTAGTAGTTTCTACAATCTCCTTAGATGTTCTCTCTGCTTGATGCCAATGATTTGACCCTTCTCAAACAGACTGACATCTTTTCCACGACCACGCGATGTGTCTTTCAACATGGTTGTTTAAGAAATGAGAAGCAACTCATCGCACCAGTTGGGGTTAAATAACTTGTTGCAGCTGAAAGACAATCGCCCATGCAGTAATTATCCAATAGGAGGCTTGTATCCATTTGCTTAGATAAATCCAGGTGGCAACTTTTGTTTTTTGGTCAGGCGGTGCATTACTAGTTTGTTTTCTTTGTTTTAGTGAGTCAGATCAGTTCTTCTCATCCTGAGCATTTCATTACTGTTAACACAACTTGAACTTGACTTGTGGCAGTAATGACTCTTTCACCCTCAATCTTAAGAGATTTCTACAAAGCTGCTAATATTCCTCCAATGCTTTAAGGTTTTTGAAGTTTATTCTGCTTTAAGTGCTGAATGTGAACACTCACATTGGTGATGTCTATGAAAGCAGTCCTCTTCTTAGGAGCTCCACGGGGAGGGGAGGAGGACCTCTTCACCTGGGGGCCTTCCTCCTGAGACAAAGTCACAAAACACGTGTCCAGTTAGGCCCTGCACGGCTGCAAATATTGTTCCCACAGTAAACATTTAAAAGCTGTTTGAAGAGCTGCAGGGTCACCTGGTTCTCAGTCTTTGCAGCAGGTAGTCTGGGTATCTTGCTTCCAGCGGTGGCTGAAGATTTCTTTCCCCTCGTTAAAGGCATGGCTGACTCCTGAAAACAACGCTGCCCCTGGATACGTTTAAGAAAAAAAAAAGGTCCAAATCAAAACTTGCCTTTTTATTTAACCTAAAGCGTTGAGTTTTAAAGTACCGAGGCGCGTGTGAGTGCCCTGAACGCTGCACGGGTGGAGTTCCGTCAACTACACACGCTCTGAGCACAAACAATCAACGCTTAACTTTCATGCATTATCTTACCTCGTCGTGATATATCCCGTGTTGTATAGTTTGAAGGGGAAACCTGCGTCTTTTTTAGTAAATAGTTCGTTTTTCGAGTTGCTCGATGGCCGCAAACAAAAGTCTTTCAGCTGAGGATCTAAAGCTCCTGCGTCTCGCTCTCATTGGCTAAAATTTGAGCGAGAGTGGCCAATCAGAGAGCTGCTAAGAATGCTGTCACTAGGGAGCGCTTGATTTATCGTCCGGAGTAGCGCTGTGGGTTTTTTTTTTTTTTTTTTTAAGAATAAAAAAGCATTTTATAAACTAAAATTAGGTTTATTCAGGCTTATTTTGCATGTTTTCTAAAAAAAAAAAAAATAGATATATAAAATATTATTGTCTAGAAAAGCAAATTTATTTCTAAATTTAACAATGGTAGGCTATCGCCGCCCATCTCGACGGTGACAAGAATGCCCAGAAAACCATATGTAGGCAGCAAATGCTGAAGAAGGAGGAGCTGTGGACATTTTCAAATCTCCTACCATCCAATAGAAATGCACGCGTTTAGCGATTTGTTGATGTTTTCGTATAACTACACACATAATGCCTCTGTGCTACGGAGGGTGGGATTTACAACTGCTCCACATTGGGTTAAATATAGGAAATACATAGTAAATTAATTTAATGCTGTATCCTTCCTGTATCAGAAGGTTAGGTTTGGCTGGTCTCACACAAACATGTTGAATTCCATTATGCAATCAGACAAGGCTGAAATGATCCTAAACATGTATTTAAATTCCCCTGTTGAACAATAATTCAAAAATACTTTATTAATCCCAGAGGGAAATTAAATGTTGTTGTAACTCATCATCCTGGTTCATTAAAGAGTTGTTCTAGATGCTGATGGCTGTGGGCAGGAAGGATCTCTTGTAGTGTCTGTCTTACAGCAGATCTGAAGAATCCTCTGCTGAAGACACTGTTGTTGTATGACAGTCTGATGAAGAGGATGCTGAGGGTTGTCTATAATGTTCTTCATTTTTTGAAGAATCCTTCTTTGTACAATCATCTCCAAAGGTTCTAGAGGAGTCCCCAGAACTGAGCCAGCCTTCTTTATGAGCTTGTTGATCTTTTTGAAGTCACTTGCTCTGTTCTCAGCTTCTTGTCCATCTCTGATACACCCAACCACTGCAGAGTCCTCTGAATATTTCTGCAGATGACAAGAGTCTGTTTTATACTGGAAATCTGAGGTGTACAGAGTGAAAAGGAATGGTGAGAGTACAGTACCCTGTGGTGCTCTTGAGCTACTGACCACCTGGTCAGACACACAACCCTTCAGTCTCACAAACTGTGTTCTGTCCGTCAGGTAGTATTTGATCCAGGTGATTGTTGAGGCCTCCACCTGAGTCTTCTGGAGTTTCTGACAAAGCAAATCAGGCTGGATTGTGTAAAATGTACTGGAGAAATCAAAGAGCATGACCCTCACAGAGCTGTCTGCCTTTTCTACATGACAGTGAGTTTGTTGAAGCAGTCAGTCTCACTGATATAAAGATAAGCTATTTCTGCAGCATGACAGACAGCAGCAGGCCTACTGGGGCTCACAGACCAGCGTTAGTGCAGCAACTGTCAGGAGCAGTTAATGGTCATAAAACTGTGTAACATGAATATGCCCAGAGTTCAAGATGGACAGTGGGCAGGCAGGATAGCTCATTGACTGAATATAATTAGGATTAATTTAGCGAAGAGTATGGTGTAGAGCTGTTCTATATGAAAGTGCCCTGAGATGCTAAATGATATAGCTCTATATTAATGAAACTGGACTGAAATGATCAGGAGACTTTGTAAAAAAGGAGAGATTTGTGCTGAGCGTTATGACAATTTTTAAAATGTGTTTTAGTTTCAGAAGCAGAGCCAGTAGTGATGAGAGGAATGTTCCAGTCAATATGGAAGGAACAGGTGAGCTGTTGTAACTGTGTATGAACAAGCATTAGTTTACAGTTTATTTGTCATATGCAGCACAAGGACAAGGATGCAATGAAATGTTCAGGATGAGAAAAACCGATTCTACTTGCTTAAAAAACAAGGAATACTAAAGTATGCAATAAAAGTAAAAAATAAAGTACCAAAAAATGCAAAAGAAATATAATATTTACAAAGTACAAAAGAAATATAGTAAGCATCATGGTAGAATATAGGTTCAAGGTGACTTTATTGTCTTTCGCATCGGCTGTGGTGCATGAGGTGGAATGTAATTGTTTGCTCAAGGTCCCAGTTACACCCAAGAAATTGCAAAAATACAAAGTATAAAAAAAGAAAGTATGATATACGCTACATAATAATAATATAATATAGTACCACGTATTAAACAGCAGCCTGAACATGAGTCAGTTGTGAGCAGATGGGTATGAGTACAGCAGCTTATGGGTAAGAAATCAGCAGCATAGATAATCAGCAGCACAGATAATGTGACATATCACCAATTATTATTTTTTTTTCTGGTTAGTGATTTATGAGTCTTAACAGCTTCAGGGGTGTTGTGGGTTGCAAGATTGAATTAATGGGAAAATAAACAGACACTTGGATCAGCTTCAGTTCTCCTTCTTTACTTTCACTTTCCGTTTCGTCCATCCCTCTGTACAGCATATTTTAAACATACAGTCATATGTGACTGTGGTGCCCTTTCTATGCAATAACCATCAGTTTCAACAGCAGAACACAGTGTTACAAAATATGTAAAGAAACACCAACTTTTAGAATGTTTTAACTTTTATTCACTATATTCAATTAATTATTACAGCTGATGAGCATAAAACATGTTATTAACTAACATGTTTTAAACACTGTGTTATATTCCCATTCAAGTGGCGCCAAAGTTTGGAAGGTTTTAAATACTCGTTTGTGAGGGTCTCCAGACAGAGGATACATTTCGGGCAATCATGGCCATTTTTCTGTATGACTGTAAAGCCATACTTAATGTATGCTTCCTCATATCTTCGAATTTTAGTTAGCCATGAGTTCTTTGTTTAGTTTTTTGTTTTGCAGCAGTTATATAGTATATATTTAAATAACTGTAATAAAATCAAATATATTTTTCAATAATTATTGAAAA